GACCCGCCGTCGCCCGCCCACCGCCGCTATATAAATGGTCAAACTAGTTTAACCAAAATGGCGTTTTTAAAACACATTTGAAAAAGAAACACCATGGCATGGTATTTTTTACAAAAACAAAACAAAAAAAACATTGATTACCAAACACACCCTAAACAGCCAACCTATCTTCCGTCATGCCTCATCTGTCAAAATCCAAGATACGTTGGAGATATCCTGACCCGCCGTCGCCCGCCCACCGCCGCTATATAAATGGTCAAACTAGTTTAACCAAAATGGCGTTTTTAAAACACATTTGAAAAAGAAACACCATGGCATGGTATTTTTTACAAAAACAAAACAAAAAAAACATTGATTACCAAACACACCCTAAACAGCCAACCTATCTTCCGTCATGCCTCATCTGTCAAAATCCAAGATACGTTGGAGATATCCTCTCATGTGCTCAAATGACTTCCCTTCCAATAGTCAGCCGACATCTATAAAGCTGAGAATGACTCAGCATCCTGTCTACTCATCCCACCACCGTCCCCCTGTGCATAGTCAAGGCCAAGGGTTAGAATCACAGAGGCGAAAGACTATAAAAGGGAGGAAGGAGGGTAAGAAAAGGAGGTGGGGCTTTCTACTCTCCACTCTCTGCTCTTTCTTTTAATCTTGACTCTACTAAGAGACTGAACCTTCATTAAATTCGGAGGAGCATTTTCTCCCAATGGATCTATTTTCTCTTCACTAATAGCTCTAAAAGAGTACCCCCTGAAAAAGACTTTAATGGCCCTGGGACTTTTCCTCGAACCCCGCTCAAGCTCACTAGCCGACTTGACCGTCGGAGGTACCACGGGGGGAAACAAGCCCCGCCCTCTTACGGGTTCATTCTTCTTGTTTATGCAGCAGAATCAGGAATTTCAGTCCAAGGATCGAGCATAAAGTCGGAGGAGGAGTCGGCCACATCTCTCATCCTCTCACTCTTCATCATTTGCGGATAGCTCTCATCGACTGTGTGATCTCGGACATCAACAGTTTGGCGCCCACCGTGGGGCTCACTTTCTTCTTTGAGAAGACAAGCCTAATTCTGAGCAGGGGCCTGATCCTGCTCAACCTTGAAAAGGAACATTGGAATCGTATCATTCAAGCTAAACAAAGTCTAGAATCGCATCATTCAAGCTAAGGAGGATTAGCCTATGGCTATGAGGAGTCAACATAGGCGTAGCCCTCGAGGACTTCAATAGCTTTCTGGGAAGTATTTACCAAGCAGGCATCCACCAGAGGATGGATCCGCTACCAGAACCCCGAGAGCCCTCCTAAGAGAAGACACACCGCTATGGTGCTTGTCTGGCTTGAAAATGAAACACAAGCTTCTTATCGTCGTCACAGATGAACTCCCCCTCTTGGACAGCCAAGGAGCTTGGAGTCGGATCACAAAATAGAACCCCGCCTACAATGAGGGTTATGATCAAATCCAATATCACTTAAGCTTCCGTCGGCAACAACTCATTCGAGCTCAGGAGCAATGATTAAGTCTGTGGCAGGCTCCTCAGACCATCGCCACCTTCAAAAGAGAGTTCCTACTTGCTAAGGATGAGATAGCGAGAAAAACTCGAAGGGCCACCAGATAATTACCTCCTCAGGAAATTCAGCCCTAGCCCCCGGCAGAAGCTCGAACCACCAAAGCCAAAGCAAGCACAGGTGGTCGAAGCATGCGACTCACTCTCCCTACAAGAAGGTTCCTCCATTCACAGGATGGTCAAGTCGTTGCTATTCCTGGAATCCCCAAGAGGAAACTATGATCCCATCAAATTCCAGGGAACAAAGCACCGGCATCTGGGGTTTCACCAATAAGAAGCCCCCCATCATAAAAGTTGCCCAGCCTCCTGATAAACACCAACCTCCGAAGGCTCAATCAGCAGGACACTGGCCATACAGGGCAACCAACGATGGTGAAGCAAGATCTGTTAAAAATCATCATATCCACCGTCGACTTGTAAAGACCTTAACAAAGACTCGAGTTCAGAAAGGTCCTGGCCGATGAGATGGCAAATATGTCAACAACTCAGCGACATTTAAAGCCAAACAGCTCGCCCTCCAAAGAGAGTAACATCCGACTCCAGATATTCAAATGACTGACGACTCGGTGTCCTAAGTCACACCACAACAAAGATGGCCAATAAAACAACGGCTCACCCTTGC